TACAGTAGCCCCCAGACACCCGGGTGTGGGTACAGTAGCCCCCAGACACCTGGGTGTGGGTACAGTAGCCCCCAGACACCTGGGTGTGGGTACAGTAGCCCCCCAGACACCCGGGTGTGGGTACAGTAGCCCCCAGACACCTGGGTGTGGGTACAGTAGCCCCCAGACACCTGGGTGTGGGTACAGTAGCCCCCCAGACACCCGGGTGTGGGTACAGTAGCCCCCCAGACACCCGGGTGTGGGTCCAGTAGCCCCCAGACACCTCGGTGTGGGTACAGTAGCTCCCAGACACCCGGGTGTGGGTACAGTAGCCCCCAGACACCTGGGTGTGGGTACAGTAGCTCCCAGACACCCGGGTATGGGTACAGTAGCCCCCAGACATCCGGGTGTGGGTGCAGTAGCCCCCAGACATCCGGGTGTGGGTACAGTAGAACCCAGACACCCGGGTGTGGGTACAGTAGCCCCCAGACACCTGGGTGTGGGTACAGTAGCTCCCAGACACCCGGGTATGGGTACAGTAGCCCCCAGACATCCGGGTGTGGGTGCAGTAGCCCCCAGACATCCGGGTGTGGGTACAGTAGAACCCAGACATCCGGGTGTGGGTACCGTAGCCCCCAGACATCCGGGTGTGGGTACAGTAGAACCCAGACACCCGGGTGTGGGTACAGTAGCCCCCAGACACCTGGGTGTGGGTACAGTAGCTCCCAGACACCCGGGTGTGGGTACAGTAGCCCCCAGACACCCGGGTGTGGGTACAGTAGCCCCCAGACACCAGGGTGTGGGAACAGTAGCCCCGACACCTGGGTGTGGGTACAGTAGCCCCCAGACACACGGGTGTGGGTACAATAGCCCCAGAAACTCAGGTGTGGGTAAAATAGCCCCAGACACCCGGGTGTGGGAACAGTAGCCCCGACACCTGGGTGTGGGTACAGTAGCCCCAGACACCTGGGTGTGGGTACAGTAGCCCTCAGAAACTCGGGTGTGGGTACAGTAGCTCCCAGACACCTGGGTGTAGGTACAGTAGCCCCCATACACCCAGGTGTGGTTACAGTAGCCCCCATACACCCAGGTGTGGTTTCAGTAGCCCCCAGACACCCAGGTGTGGTTACAGTAGCCCCCAGACACCCGGGTGTGGGTACAGTAGACCCCAGACACCCGGGTGTGGGTACAGTAGCCCCCAGACACCCGGGTGTGGGTACAGTAGCCCCCAGACACCCGGGTGTGGGTACAGTAGCCCCCAGACACCCGGGTGTGTGTACTGTATCCCCAGACACCCGGGTGTGGGTACAGTAGCCCCCAGACACCCGGGTGTGGGTACAGTAGCCCCAGACACCCGGGTGTGGGTACAGTAGCCCCCAGACACCCGGGTGTGTGTACTGTATCCCCAGACACCCGGGTGTGGGTACAGTAGCCCCCAGACACCTGAGTGTGGGTACAGTAGGACCAGAAACCCGGGTGTGGGTAGAGTAGCCCCCAGACACCCGGGTGTGGGTACAACAGCCCCAGACACTCAGGTGTGGGTACAGTAGCCCAAGACACCCGGAAGTCAGTACAGTAGCCCCCAGACACCCGGGTGTGGGTACAGTTGCCCCAGACACCCGGGTGTAGGCACAGTAGGCCCAGACACCCGGGTGTGGGTACAGTAGCCCCTAAGCCCCCGAGTGTGGGTACTCTAGCCCCCAGACACCCGTGTGTGGGTACAGTAGCCCCCGACACCTGGATGTGGGTACAGTAGCCCCAGACTCCTGAGTGTAGGTACTGAAGCACCAGACACCCGGATGAGGGTACAGTAGCCCCAGACTCCCGGGTGTGGGTACAGTAGCTCCCAGACACCCGGATGAGGGTACAGTAGCCCCAGACACCCGGGTATAAGTACAGTAGCCCCAGACTCCCGGGTGTTGGTACAGTAGCGCCTAGACTCCTGGGTGTGGGTACAGTAGGCCCCAGACACACGGGAGTGGGTACAGTAGCCCCAGACACACGGGAGTGGGTACAATAGCCCCAGACACCCGGGTGTGGGTACAAAAGCCCCAAGACACCAGGGTGTGGGAACAGTAGCCCTGATACCTGGGTGTGGGTACAGTAGCCCCGACACCTGGGTGTGGGTACAGAAGCCGCCAGACACTCAGCTGTGGGTACAATAGCCCCAGACACCCGGGTGTGGGTACAAAAGCCCCCAGACACCAGGGTGTGGGAACAGTAGCCCTGACACCTGGGTGTGGGTACAGTAGCCCCGACACCTGGGTGTGGGTACAGTAGCCCCAGACACTCAGCTGTGGGTACAATAGCCCCAGACACTCAGGTGTGGGTACAATAGCCCCAGAAACCCGGGTGTGGGTACAGAAGCCCCTAGAAACTCGGGTGTGGGTACAGTAGCTCCCAGACACCTGGGTGTGGGTACAGTAGCCCTCAAACACCCAGGTGTGGGTACAGTAGCCCCCAGACACCCAGGTGTGGTTACAGTAGCCCTCAGACACCCGGGTGTGGGTACAGTAGCCCC